GCACTCAAAACAAAACACCATTCCTTCTTTGGCCACTTCAGAAATCTCGCTCAAAAAGACCTCTTAACTTTGGAATTAGAAGCCAACCAAAATCTTGTTCCTATTTTTCGCTTTCAATGGTTGCGCTCTCACCAAGTATTACTCAGAGCTAAGAAGACGAACCAGGCTCAAATCATCCCCATGAAGTCTACAAGGTCTAGGCTACCGATTCATATAAATAACGTTTGCTAAAAATGTTTTTTTTTGTATAGTTAATGGGATGGTGCCACTTACCTTCAAACAGATCAAACAGCTGCGTTTTTCACATCATTGTTACTGCTTAACCTTCTTCTTTAAATAGCAGAAAATTTATATGGAAACGTTTCTTCAGAAGCAATATATAATCGTTTTTCCCTACCTATGCAAATGTAATATACTGGTAAAATACTGCGAAAATATTGGGATACGGTAACATGCTAAGTCTGCGCTACTAAGTGAATCGCAAGGGAAGGCGACAGGAATTTGTATATTCGATAGCCTAAGCCTCTAATCTACATTAAATTGATTTGAGCCTGATTGGTTTTCTCTAGCCTAAGATACTGAAAATGATAAATGGAACAAATTCCTATTTGGAAGTTTGAAGTAGGATTTCTGATGTGAGCAAAGAAATAGTAGTTCTTTGTATTAAGCGCAAAAAGAAATAGTTAACTTACCTTTGAAATAAAGTAACATGAAAACGATCATCTCACTTAGGTGGTCCTGTATATGGAAACCACAGAATTCGCTGAAACTTAGACCACAGGGGTTTTTTACTTGCTAATTACGAAACGATGCTCTTATGCTTTATAGATCTTTAATTATTGTGCTTATTGTACGTATACGATAATGAGTCAAACATGCGTGCTAGTATTTTGCAAGACGGGCCTATTTGACATTCTTAACGAATATCATGTTATGCGAACAGCGGACGCCATAACGACCCCCCCTCCTCCTCCCTGACTCCTCAATACGACCCAGGTGTGGAATTCCACACACCATGCTTGACCCTGCCGATGACTACAGGGTGCATATCAACACATAGAGCTTGAAGCGCTGATTTTACATCTGCCTCCCCTTTCTGCAGAACGCTTCCCTGGGAAGTAAGTTGTGGACGTTCATTTGCGGGAAATTTGCAAGACTGAGAGTATCCAAAATTATCAAGAGACCTAGGCATTTTGGACCCAAACCTACTTGGAACAACTTATTCATGCTTTTCGTGTGATGCTGACCCTTTTCAGAATGCTATTCTTAAGCGCAGAAAGCAATTCGAGCAATTTCAATCATCTGCATTCACTTGAAACCATGCAAATTTTGTTAATAAAGTCGCTATAACTTCCTTCGAAAAGGCGTTCTGCAGATATGGAAGGCAAATTTGAAAGCAAACCAAGCTCTTAACGATATGCATCCTGTGGTACACTTCACTCCGCGACTCTCCCTTGTAAGAAAATCCAAGTGCTTGAAAAATTGAAAAACTCTCATCTCCGTTCAAACAAATCCTACATACTTCCTACTTGCTCAGGCATGTATCATCCACATCCGCCATTTACCATTTAGTTTTATCTTCCATGGTTAGGAATGGAAAAAAAGAATAATTTTCATTGGTCAAAGGCTATATCCACATAGGTAACTCTAAAGCATGAACTTTCGGGAAGTATGACCATGAATTAATAGCTTTTACTTAGCTTTTACAGGCAATAGTTTTCGGAAAAGATCAAAATATTGGCATGGTTCTCGAGGCTCGAACCAGGACCCGGCACGATCGAATTCTAGGGTTTCTGAGAACAAAGCTGCCTAAATTTCAAAAGTTTTACGAAATCGCCTTTGACCCTTATCGAAAAACTATTTACGTAGCAGGAAATGAAAATAAAAAAGAGTCACTAGCAGGGTCAAGCAAGGGGTGTGGCACACGATCGCTGGTTACGCCCCCCCCCTGACTGCTGTCTTAATAAGACCCCCCCCCTGAACTATGCACTTAAGATAGCATTACCTGAAGGCCCTGTCAAACATAATGGGCAATATGTGCATAATTAGCATGTCAAATGACCCCTGTAGACAAAGTGTGAGCGAATTCTGAAGATTCAAGATACTAGGCTACCTAAGTGAAATGGTCAAATTCCAACATGGTCAACTTTGTTTCAAAAGTGAATTAGCTATCGGTTTCTGCACTCAAGACAAAGCACTACTTCTTCTTTGTCTACCTCAGGAATCTCGCTTCAGAAGACCTCCAAACTGTGGAATTAGAAGCCACCCAAAATCTCGTTTTTCCCATTTTTCGCTTTTGATCGCTATGCTTTCACTAAATATTATTTAGAGCTAAGAGGACGAATCAGGCTCAAATCACTCCTGTGAAAACTAGGAGATCTAGGCTATCAATCCATATTATGGTTCGCTAAAAATGTTTTTATGACGTAGTTGTTGGGGTGTGCCGCACTCCATTATATCAAAAAAACATTTTTAGCGGACAGTATTTATATGAATCGATAGCCTAAACCTTGTAGATTCCATAGGACTGTTTTGAGCCTGATTTGTCTTCTTAGTTCTAAGTAATATTTGGTGAAGGCACAGCGATCAAAAGCGAAAAGTGGGAAAAACGAGATTTTGGTTGGCTTCTGATTCCACAGTTTGGAGGTCTTCTGAAGCGGGATTCCTGAAGTGGACAAAGAAGGAGTAATGCTTTGTCTTGAGTGCAAAAACGGATAGCTAATTCACCTTTGAAACAAAGTTAACCATGTTGGAATTTGACCATTTCACTTATATAGCCTAACATCTTGAATCTTCAGAATTCGCTCACACTTTGTCTACAGGGGTTATTTGACATGCTAATTATGGATAGGATACGAATATCATGTTATCACTATTATCAGATTACCCAACTACGACCTTTGACTCCTCAATACGACCCCCCAGGTGCGGCGTGCCGCACCCCACGCTTGACCCTGGTCACTAGTCTGAAAAAATAACGTGAAGTAAGACTGAAATTTGAAGTAGATCTGAGTACTTCAGTAAGTTTTAACCCAGTTTAGGCGAAAACTATATTTGCGGGCGTCCGCCTCGCAATCATTTGCGCCGTTTTACAGCCACAGTACACCAAATTGTGCTAGGAACTCATGACTACGTCTCTTCGTTGTCCTCAGCTTTTGCTTGGCAAAATGCTAGCGCTATGCGCTCGCAAAGCCTCCAGCACTGCCGAACTACTCCACGTAAAATGTTTTGCCTACTCCGGATCAAGACATACCCTAGGCATGCAAAATAGTGACAGTGCAATGTCTAACAAAGCGTTTATTGAATTAAGGCGAAAAACAAAAGGGCAACGATGATAATGTCTTCATGTTCAAGAACAGATTCTTGACTGGGGAATCCGTCCATGATAGAAAAATGCAAAGCATACGTAAACTTACAAAAACAAATCTTTTACGATCTCAGACTGTATGATGGTTGTTTGGAAACGAACTAAGTCCGGAAAACAGAACTTCATACGATTGTTGCTACGCGGTCATTCTCGACCAACCAAAATCAACCAAAACCAACACAAACGATCGGCGCAGGATTTATTCCTCAAACTGGGGTGATTAAACCGGAGTCTGACACTTTATAACAATATATGTGCAAAATAAGAAAATATTATAAACCACTTTTTGCATGAGTGTGAATAGGCGCAATTCAGTGACAAAAGATAAGTAACTTTTTGGTCTAACCTCAGCAAAATGCGCAGATAAGTGATGTAACGGTAAAAACTGTTATGGCGCAAATACTGGTTAATTGGTAGATGCTTTTTGGCGCGACAAAGGTGAATATTCAAAAATGGCCAGAGCTCTTTTCTGGCGCAGAAATAGAAGAAATGCGCAAGTGGATGTTCATAGCCCTTTTTGCATCAAAAATGGCTAAAACCGAGTCGCAGTCAAAATAAAGAACAAGGAAGACATCAAAATGATTGAATAGAAAAAAGGAAAGTATCAATCTGCCCATGCTTGCTCGGCTCGCGGCTTCTTATATCCAGCGCAGTGATCTGTTGCACGATAACCATAGCATATTTTGAGAAGAAGTTGAAGCGCAAAGTCTGTCATGAGATAACGTTCTCCGCGTTGCCGCGGCGTTACAGTAACCATAGAGTAAAATACAACAACCTCAAGGGAAGATCGCAGCGTTGCGGCGATACTTCACATGAATTCCAAATTTTTACATAATTCTTCCGTAAATGATATTCTACGCTTACAGTGCCAATTTGGTGTCATATGCTTGCCTCTACGCTGTGAACAAACAATTCGTTGATTTTGGCTTTGCTCTCAAATCGCGCTTTTCCCACGACGCTATGAAGCAGGTCCATCGTATAATAACGTCTTTGAAACGCGTGCTTGACCAAGTGGTTCCTTTTGGCACTACAGAAATTGCGCTGAATTGTCTTGCACACTATATGTGCAATTTTCCTCCACCTTCACTAACAATGCATGTACTTTTTATGAGTCTTCGCCCCTCACCTCGCAAATTATATTCTATGGTTTCTGTCCCAAAAGCAAAGTCCAGCTTGCTTCCATTCCATCTGTGCCGGGCACTGGCTCGAACGTCAGCCCGGACGCTGTTTTTGTAAAGTTGTACTTCTGCAAAGCGTATTTTACAATACCTTCTTTGCTTGAAACGAAGTCCAGCCCGCCTCCAGACTTGCGTGCCGGACTCTGGGTGTAAGTGACCGGCAGCGAATGCAATCAAAAGCTAAGAAAAAATTTCAACAAGAAAATTTTCTAAAATTTTACGATGAGGCGCTTACGCCGGTAAGGAGAACATAATGTCCGCTAAGAATGAGATCGTCGTGAAATTTTCATCTCCGTTCACAAAATCGGAGTGAGACAATAGTTCCTATTCTGCGCTTTATGTGCAGAAGGAAAGTTCGATATTCACAATGACTTTCTTATCTCAAGCAAGGAATCTATATGATTACGATTTGTACACCGAATAAATAGATTGTTTATCTAATTCAAGATGATATGCTACCAAAACACGAGACCAATGAATGCAACCAAAATGGCACAAAATGAGAGCACTGGTGAGGTATTTGCTTCCTCTTGTAGTTCCATGTAGTAGGGTATCGAGTTGATTTCTACTTCTTTGCACTCTTTTACCACACCACACTTTGACTTCCACTCCGAAAACGCCTAAAGTAGAAAAGTAACATTGGTATCGAGCTCACAGAAATTGATTTTCGAAGATCTAGTGACCTTGGGAGTAATTTGAGCCGTAAAATCTTCCAGGGACAAAAACCCATCCACGTCAACTTTATCGGCTAATTCAGGAATAAGCTTTGCCTGTAATGAATTTTTCTTTCGATAAATAGGATTTATCTGGAAGCTTACTTTATAGATGACATGTTTATCAATTGGATCGGGATCGTGATCGAGAATTCGTATTGATGGTAGAGGCTTCATCCTGGAATTGAGGTGTATTTTTGTTCTCGGATCGGTACATACTAACCTGAATTCTAGTACAAATCCAGCTGATGTAGTGAGTTCATCCTTAATCACACCGAGATTTTTCATCACAGATAGGGTAATCTCATTGTGCTGAAATATTTTGTCAAATTTTTGTACCGTAAGTATTAGTATAACAGCATCCAATTCTGCATTTCCTACATTAACGCTAGCTATCCGTTGAATTTTCGAGATGAAAACCCACGTTATAATAAGCTGCTGCATCCGATTTTTCCTTCCTTATGTTTGAAGCAGCTGTTCTAAGAAAATTTCATCTCTGATGCGATATTGTTAGTATCATTAGGAAGTACTTTTCTTGCTCTTTCCTACGCTTATCAAATTTCAATAAATTTTTAGTGTAAGGAGATTTCAGACTCAAAATTTCCAACTGGCCGAGGTATGTTCTCGCCCAAGAAAAATGTTCCTACAAGAAAATCTCCACAATGCGAATTTTAAGTCAGGTCCTTTCACCGGTTGCGTAATAAGGAAGTAACAGGCTAGCATATGCACAAGCTCATAAAATCTGTTGCCGAACATTAAGTTTTTGTATGAATGCTTTACAAGCAATAACTTCCTGCGAATAGAAGTAATCGATGAGTTTAAAGTTGGAGGTGCTAGGGTAAAGCAAGAGCTAGCAGGGCCCATCCACCAATTCCTTTTTGGCGCTCACATCAATCATAAAATCTTCATGATTCGTATTTAGGCGTGTATACATGCGCTGAAGCGAGGTCAAAAAATGGATTTTTTTTGCTCGGTCAAAGACGTCCTCCGGCAACGCAGATCTTATAGTCACTTTTATGTTGCAAAATAACCTACGGAAATTTCTCTATCCATCCAATGTTAGATAAGATGCCTATCAATTCTCATAAGGGAGCATTGTCATGTCAAAAAAGACAGATTTGAAGGAAAACGCTGTAAAGTTTTTGTGTCCTTGCTTCTTCCTTAACAAGGATTTTCTCAAGTCTCAATATGTGTCTGATAGCCAAGGAACTGCTCAAGATCTTGGAAAAAAGTTGATTCGGAAGAAGTTATGACATTTTGAGCTCAAAAATTCAAATCGGACAGAACCTATGCAGCAGCCTAATACAATGTCATCTAGAAGCAAAATTGAAAGTAAATTTGAACGTGAGCAAAAAGTACAGTGGCTTTATGGGAGTCTGCGACTTGTTTCGCCATTATTGTCACGAGGATATCAGCTGGACTGTTACATGAGCCAGTAAGAATCAAATTAGGCAAATCAGTTTACGCTTGTCTGGAAAATCTTCCCCTATTAGGGCGTTTGTAGATAAGATAACCTTTGTTTCCAATGGCTTGGCGGCTGGAAGACGGGGCTTTGTGACCTGATTGAGGCCGCTAAGCAGTCTGCATCTCTCCCGCGCGGTGCTCTCCGCTCATCACCTAGCCTTGATTAGGTCACGAAGCCCCGCCTCGCACCACCCAGTTAAATCAAAGGGTATATCATCCTTCTGAAATCGTCCTTGAGGTTATTATGTTTTTTGGTAAGGGTTAAAAAGCAGAGATATCCTTTTCAGCTTTTTCAAGAACCCTCAGTAACAGAACCTAAAGTAACAAATTTTTTCTCTTACTTTATAATTTTGGAATAGTAGAAATAATTGTCTAATAAGCCTAAATAATAATCTTTTTGCTACATTCAACTTATTCTGGATTTATCATATCATCACAAAAACTCGCATTTTTGTGAAGGTTTATTTAGTCTAAATAATCTTTTCTACAATTACATGCAGGGTCTAGAAGGAACCCTACCATAAACCTTATTTTTATAACTAAATCTCAATATCTTGCCTTAGTTATGTACAAGGACAAGCTTTCAGCTTCAATTTTGGAAGTTCTTGATTTACTGAGTACGTGTTGGCTATTTCGGCAAAAATGGAGATCTTTGAAAAAAATGATGTAAAAATCTAAAGAGCAGAACAATGGGGGCCATGATAACTATAAAATCCTGGATTCGCCCTACCTGTTCGCAACCTCTACTTCAAAAGCCTGTAATAAAGATAAAAATTGGCGGATTTTGGAGTGAAGAGAAAATAAATGTTGGTAAATGATAGTTACATAAATGGGGATATTGAAAAGCAATGAAAACTATGAAACGAACGGAATGAGCCGTGAAAAGCTGCATGATTTTCTCCCAACTTTTCTGTAAGTAAAAGATTTGCTTTATAAGAATGTATGATCGTACATCTGATTTGTATAATGATGCATCATTTCTGTGGTTCAAATAAATATCAGAATTTGAGAATTGCAAAGACAACTAGTGGTGATTGCTAAACCGCAGTGGCGGACCGAGGGGGGGGGGGCGCCCTCTGAAGTTTACTTACGTGGGAAGTGTGCAAGTGACTTGTTTACTCTTGAATTAAAATAATTTTTTAAACTTTTTCAAAATTTAAATGAGCCTTATAAAAAATTTGGAGGGAGGGGGGGGAGGGCGTAGCGTCAGCCACGCCCCTTTTGTCCAGATTTCAGGAATCGAGGACTCGCGAAAATTGCCCCCGGACGGAAATCGTGGGACCGCCACTGCTAGACCGGTACTGTATGTATGTAGAGCACATAACTTGAGAAATTGATCAAATTGAGCTGAGAAATTTTCCAAAAAATTCAGTAGCATCTAAATATATGTGGATTCCAGTGGTACATGAGTTATAAAAATATGCAAGTGATTTGTTTATTCTTGTAAGCAATTTAAATAATTTTTGAAATTTTTTAGAAATTTAAGTTAGCCTTATCCACGCCCCCTTTTTCCAGATTTTAGGGGTTGGGGGCCCGCAAAAATTTTGAGAAGCCCCTCTAAAAAATTTTTGCCGCGCCCCCCCCCCCCCCCCCCGAGCCGAAATCCTGGGTACGCCACTGGTGGATTCTTATTCTAAACCCTGTCTTTCGAGGAGCAGGGAGCTTGATAATAAGGTTTCAATTTTGTTCTACTCACTGGGATTAACGCGGTTGATCAATAGAACCAGAAAGCTTACCGATGCATATCCAACAATATGTGGTCCAGTGCCATTCTTTGCATCAGCGATAGCGCTCAAAATATTCTTCAACCATACGCCAGACATCAGGTCTCGGCATGGTTCATAGTTAGCGCAGGCTATCTGGTGGATTTCAGCTGGAATAATTTCTTGGAATTAAGCCAACTTTGCCTGTGGCAGTCATTACCGAACTGCAACGCTTCGCTCACAAGGCCTTCTGCGTCATAGCCTTTTAGGGTTGGGTTTGTGACCCATTCGGGATATGAGGCATTATAGAGGTCCTGAAAGTGAATTTTGGATTTTTCCTCAATTACAAGAGCTAAACCTACAATTTCGATTAGATTATCGGCAAAATCAGCAGCCCTCGCCAGCGACGACATATTCCAATGAGTCTGTTCACCAATGTAATTCAAAAGCGCACTACTATTTTTCTTGGCCTCAACGAGTGACGGAAGGGTATCGTCATCGATGGGTTTCCAGACTTAAATGGAACTTTGAAAAACGTACCCTAAAAGCCCAATTTTCAAACCTTTGTCACTATTTTTGCATTCTTTCACAGAGTACATTCTAAGCATCGGATCGTCGATAGCATAAGGCACTGGACTCCAAGGCAATCCACCTGAGGTATCCCATTCTGCCCATCCGACAGGTTTGTAGAGTCCAGCTAGGGCTACCTATAAAAACGGTCCGCTGCAATTTTTGTGAACAAAATTCAAACACATACTTGCAAAGTCATTTGGCATCTATTTGCTGAGCTTGAAAAATACTTAGAATCTAAGCGATTATAATTATCCGACACTAGGTCGCCAACGAACTTCCTGAGTTCCTTCCCTAAGCCAAAAGCCTGTCGTTTGCCAATCTAAAATATAGAAAATTTCAAAGATGGCGATCTATCAATAGGATGGCGACAAACTGATGTCAACTCTGTGTCGCCTTCAAATCCCCATGTCCTTGGATTTTCATGCAAAAACACTTCTGGGTTACGATTACCGTGCCTAAAAATTTGTCAGTATGATTTTCGAAGCAAATTAACATATCTGTGAGATTAGCTCTTGCAAGTAATACACAAGTTTTTCCTTGCAACAGCTCAAGGTTTTTCATCTCATGCTGTACTTGACTGTTTAAAAATGATAGAAAGAGTATTAAGGGAGGAGGGAGGGGTGTAAAGATGGTTAAATGAGCATTAAGGGGGGGGGGGGAGGAGTGATCTCTTCAGAAAATTATGTCGTGAAAAGAACAAGCATAATGTGACAGGTGTTTTTAGTCAGATTTCACTGACTTTTTTTCACTTCAAAATCAAATTTTGACCCCACTGAAGCTCCTTAGTCTAGAGTTGAAGATCTTATTATTGCAATGAGCAAACTGTATTCCTTCCTGAATTCTCCGAAGATGCGAAGAATGCGAAGATGAGGCCCTAAGTTTATCTTTTTGAATCAACAAAACACCTTTTCGGATTGGAAACCTATAAAGAAAACGGCGTTCCCTTTCCAGCTCAATGGCAATAGACAAAGTACTACATTCATCAATCGAAAATCATTTTATGAAAACGCGCAGCAAAAATCAAGATGTACGAAATGGAGATAAATCGCAGAATGCTTGTTCGCTGGGTATTCGCAGTAGTTCTGAAGTGACGAGAATTATGAGCTGACCTTGTCCCAAACAACACTAAGACAGTGTGCGGATCCATTTTTACCGACTCCGCAGGTAATTCTGATGCCGCTACCGTTGCCAGTAGAATGAACCATGCTATCCGCATCTCTGTGTTGGTACCCTGGAAAAGTCCATGAGGAATGCTTGTACTAATAAATAATTTAGATTTATGTGCTTGAAAGTGAAGATTTTAATGAGACTGCGAAGAAGCTTTCTTGCACATAGATACAAGGTTGGTTAAGAAAAAAATTATCTAAATCGCTCTAGGCCGTGCAACTGTCAATTCAGGAGTTCCAAGTTAAAATGGTTAAGTTAAATTAGTTAAATTTCTTAGTAGGGATGTAAACTATGTATTCACTGGAGGTATGTGTTTTACAGAACGAAGTTATACGCTATTGTCAGATACGGAAAATTAATTCAATTGAAAAGTCAATCATTCAAAAAGAAGAGGGAATTGAAATGGATGACTAGAACTAACAACTGATTTTTCGGATGTGACTGCATTTAGATCTTGTATGAGCGAAGTTACTGTCACTTATTGGGTATACCATTAATTTACTTCTAATAGATTAACAAAGTATGTGAGTATCCACGATAAAAACTAAGTAGAGAAAAGGCCTCACAATTATTACACAAATGCATTCGCGCAACGGCAAGCAGTAAATAACTTGTAAGAAAACTGCATCGCATAGGAGCAAAGACTATTGATAGCAGTAGAATTGGAATCGCTGCATAAAATTGATGTAAGTAGAGATATTTGTGGAAAAATTATCATACAAATTAGCGTATTTTGACTTTGTACCAAATTTATCAATCTTTGGAAAACAGAAAATTTTTGGGTTACAAAACTATAATAAGAAGCTTTTAAAAGCGGTAAGAAGTCAAAGAAAAAATTAGCTGAGTATTAGGATCGACTTAAGCAATTTGTCATAAGAAATTAGATCTCTCAACAAAATAAACAAAGAAATTCAATAAGAGGGACTTTTACATAGCACTTTCGCAAACAGTGAACTATTTCATACTACTTCATACTCATTGATATTTATAATTCAAAATCTAATTTGCAAAATACCCTAAAAAATGCATGATCAAAGTTTTGGAACAGTCTAATGCCACATTTTGCATCGAAACAATGGTTTGCGTCTTTGACATTGAGAAAGAGTGAAAACTCGCTCAAGGACGTCCTCCTCTTAACTATCAGTGATAAATTATTCTTGTTTTCGCAAAGTTATGCCTTTTTTGAGACCTGAATTGTTAATCTGGACCAAATGCACGAAGGACAGTGCGCTGTGTTGAGCGGCTTTTGTTTACCTACAGCGGACGAAGTGGAACTGGAAAGTTTCCGCATCAAACGGCATTTCCTACAGCAAGAAAGATGAAACATTCACTTATGAAACTCGTTCTGCTTCTTCTTCGGAGAATTAGAAAAGTATGTGAAAGCCTAGCAAATCAAAAATGGCATGATGTAGTCTTTGGTCTCGCCACTGACGCCTCAGTAATCCGCGATCGGACTAGTGATAATAGCGATCAATCATTCCGTTAAGATAGGATTTACCGAGTATCAAATGGAGAAGTTTCCAAACAGTTTCTTCTACTTGATCTTTAGAGGTAGTGTCTCGGCAGAATTTCGTTTTCCAGGTTTTCACCTTTTCGGGGCCTTCTCGCCATGAGAAACCCATATCTGGGCTTTTCAGCGCATGAAAATGGCGAAAATGAGCTTCTTCCAAAGTTATTTAATTCCGCATTCAGTGGAGAAGTGGGCGGGGCCTGGAACGAGAAAGGCGGGTGCGAATTTTTCCGGCATATCTTCACTGATTTCGGATCTAAAAAGCTTTGAAAAAGCTCATTTTCGACATTTTCATGCTCTGAAAAGCCAGGATATGGGTTTCTCATGGCGAGAAGGCCCCGGAAAGTCGAAAACCTGGAAAACGAAATTCTGCGGAGACGCTGCCTTTGAGAATCAACAGGGTTCACTGTCAATCAAATAAAATGAAGTAATATTGCATATAAATGACGTGAAAGTATAGTACAACAAAGAGGAAAAACAATCAAAATGTCCAGCGGAATAAAAAAGGTTACTTCATTTGATCTGTTTTTGTTTCATATGTTTTCTTCATATAAAGCTTCTAAACTTTCCAAAGATATAGCCAGATATGCAAATTTGCCCTGAGCAAGTGTCGATTCCTTCCAATAAATGACAGGAACATCTTAAAAGCCGGGCATACTTCACGCGATTTTAGTCACCACGCGATTTGGCAATACTCCAATTGTCCATAACTCACGGTAAGTCTATTTTGAATGCACAGAAAATAGGGTATATCATCAATCCACGTTAGTTATAACACTGTGCATGTGCAGCTTGCTAGTGTTGGATCTGAAGACTTCTGGCGAAATGCCAAATCGCTTCGCGACTGGAATCGCGTGATGTATGCCCCTGCTCTTCAAAGCCATCAATGTTATTGTTTATCAAAACAAATTTTGAAAATTCTATGAAGTAAAGAACGGAATGTTGTCAGCATCTGCAAGAATTAGCTTTTTTACTATACGAAATGGAGGCAGGGATAAAAAAATTGTATGCATGACATTCAAAAAGTTCCTGAACAAGTTGAATGACTGCGCAACCATTAAATTCGAGTCGACTTTACTGAGAGAAGATCTTTGCAATCGTTATGTATATTTGATGTTACAACATTTCTGCTATGTTTTTTTGTTTGCTGTTTTTCTGTTTTGTTTTTTCTTGTTTGTAAAAAATTGCGGTATGTGTTTACATCTCATTTGACTCGACTTATCATCAGCTGAGAAACACACTCTACCAAAACTATATCCGCATTGAATCATCTCAAGCAACACATAAGAATTCTTTGGGGACTAAACATGCAAGAAATAAGCATAAAATGTCTACAGCCAGTGCGCCATATGATGTAGGCTTTACCTATGTAGTTCTTTCAAATGGAAAAACAATGTCACGAAGCCGAAAAGGAACTATAATAACAGGGAAACTACCGAAGAATTTGTTTTGCCTAAAAAATCTAGAACGGACATCATTCGATAAAAAGTTAGATTTTAGTTCTGACTAGCTTTTTTATTGTTCGCTTTTTATAAGAAGACTTCCATGATTGTCGTTTTCTCTTGTATCTCATTCTATAGTATTACTTCATTCGCATCACCAAGATTTCGACACCAATCGTTCTAAGCGTTTCTTACAAAAATTTATACCATTTGATGATTTTGATCACATCGTGATTTGATTGGGCATCAGAACCTTGAGCATCTCCAGGTCAGGAGTCTGTCGACAACAACATCTGAAAAATTCAAACTTTGGGGAAGAAAAATTTGGACTGTTGTTTCCAGCATCGGTACATTGAATCCGCTTGCTAAATACACGTTTGAAGAAGTGTTTGTTAGGTTAGATCGAAAGTTCGTGCGCATCTTAAATTGCTCAAATTTCTCAAAGAATTTACACTTTTAGTTTTAGGCTAAAAAAAGAAAACTATGCGTTTTACAACAGCATTTGAAATAGTTTCTAGCACACAAACTTGCAGAGAAAGAGCTGTAGAAGAAAACCACCCAAATTTTGATTTTTCTATGCAGAATTACCAAAATCTGCTGGCTTCAAAAATCGCTTTAGCGGTTATTAGATTTTATGAACTGCTCTTTCTGTCTAACACAGCATCTTGTAAATAATATCTAGTTGGATGTTTTGATAAGAAGTCATAATTTCTGAGAAAAACGCCAAAAACTAATATGCCGTCAAAACATGATATCAACTGTTCCAGTTTTTAGTGCAAGATTTCCAAATATCTCACCCTACGAGAAAAATCAAAATTTTGTGTGGTTTTCTTCTAAGGCTTCTATCTATGCATTGCTTGCTTAGAAAGTCTTTCAGGTGCTATTTGAATTTCATGATTTCCTCTTTTAGGTGAAGAATTATGCAAGTCCTTTAGAAATAGCAGGTTATAAATTTTTAAAAATGGTGCGAACAAACTTCCGAACCAACCTAATATTATTGTATGTTGCTTTCTCAAAAAAATCTAGCTACAATAAAAAGTATACAATCCTAAGCTACCAAATTCTTTGAGGCTTATGATTGATATACTCATAACCGAGAATAACCAATGATTGAGTAACAGACCATTTTGCCCGCTTATGGCCTGTCGCTGTCCCTGTAACTCGTTCTACTTCTGTAGAAATGTATTAAAACATCCTAAGTTGCTGAGAGGTTTGAACCCTTTTCGCTGGTGGCACGGTAGGTGTACGGTGTCTATGCAGTAGATGCTCAGTGTAGTATATCTACAGCACCCACACTAATTATTCGACAGAAAACGTAAAAATTGACGATCCGTGTTTTATTCGTTTTATCTTCATAACTTCCTTCAGATTGCATAAAATACGAATTCGAAGAGAGCATGATGTTCAGCGCGTCGTCAAGGCGAATATTCTGATATACTGCACTCTCTTACTATTCCGTTTTCAGTCTTCTCGATTTTTGTATGAGGACGGGTTTTCGTAGTAGTGTAACTCAGCGAAGAACGCACATGAAAGACTCTAGTAAACACGATTCGGTAGAGCTGTTCCTGTAGATTATCATGCGCTAGCGAATAGCTGAGGACCCCTTTTCCAAAGAGAAAGATAGGCCGGTGAATTTTGCAAACATCAATGTCTCTCAAATTTTAGCTACCGTAAAAATACAGCAAGACGCTAATTTGCAAAGCAGGTGTGTTTTTCGTGATCAGCAGGCTAGATAATCTCTTTGCGCAAGTTTTCCAAGAAATTCGGGCCCTTCGATTTTTTTCCGTTCTAGGCTGTGCTCGCCGACGGGTTTTGGCTAAAATATTGATGATCTTGGATTGACCGGAAACTTCGCCCATAGAGGTTTTCGGACTCGCTGATTACGAAAATAGTGCTCTTTGCGCAGCGTAAGTTCTTTTAGCAGGGTTATGCTGAGAGAAATGCTGCGATACTACGCAAGTTCCTAAATTTGTCTGCCCTTTTCGCGCATATGTTGGACACCTTACCTGCTCCTTTTTGTAATTCGAAATCACTAGAGACAGTGCTCTCAGAGCATGCTTAAACTAAGCCCTTATCTGTATTGATCGCCGAACTGTG